CTCCTCAAGCGCGCGCTGCAGCGACAGCTGGTGTTGACTTTGCTGCTCCTGTGGGAAACTCTTCAATTGCAATTGCAACTTCAGGCCAACGCAGCCCCTCTCAGCCTTTCTGGACCTGAATTAGCGTTGATGGGATTGTCAAACATTAAAACTTGACAAACAGCTCTGTGGCTCAACCCTCCAATTGGCCTCCAATATATTTCTGTGCTCAGCATATTTATCTTGCCAAACTAAACGACTGTCATCTTGTGTCGATAGTACTGAAGCGCGCAGCTGGCGCACCTCAAGTGCCTTCTGAATGCCGAGCTTGTCGGAAGTCTGGTCTTCCTGACAGGGGCTGCTTCGGAGTCAACATCCTAGCGACCCTATTGATCATCATGTGGCTCTGCAAGGGTAAGCACTAATACACAAACTATTCAGTTCTGTGACAGAGCAGGTCATACAACGCCAGCCCCAGCCTCTCCCTTGTGCTGCTGCTGTTGCTTGTCCATCTCCTGGCATAACATAATCGAATTGCTCCGTCTTTAGTTTCCCATTCGCCCTTGCAGCTACTGCATCAAAAAATCGGACATGATTCAGCGTGCGGAATCTCATGTCCCATGGCAATGGCCGACTTGTGTTCATGTATGGCCAATATGTGGCAATATTAGCATGGATTGATTCCGCAACAGGCCCACCATAGGCCCACCCACACACACACACACACACATTGCGTCGCAATACCAAGTGTCGGGGTACCAAACTGTTGACTATACGTCATGCACAGGCATATGTTAGCGGTGCCAGCCTGCAACTTGGCTTCGTGCTCGGCACGCTGCTCCTACCGCGTCAACTAATGGCAAGGGCCAAACGCCAAAATACACCAAAGATATGTCATCACCATGCTGGTCTGGAAGTTGCTCAGTGGCTCCGAGGCACCGTTGAATCGTCAAGAATGAACCCCCCACTCTGTGCCAACGGAAACAGCAAGGCAATATTACTAGAATCTTGAAAAAAACGGCCCGAAAAACCAACGCGCTCAACGCTTGCTGCTTCTGCCGAAAACCAAGATGCCAAACGATGCGATCTCTCCCGCTCCTCAAGCGCATGCTGAAGCGCCTTCTGGTGTTGAGCTTCTTGCTCCTGCGGCGACACTTCAGTGGCAATTCAGGTCAGCGCAGCCCGGGCAGCTCAGCTATGCAATGGGGCGCCCGAAACTCAGACTGTTTCTGTGAGACACAATTGAAACATTGCAATATATGCGGATCAGGCAGCACGGGGCAACCCTCCAGTCGGCCTCCAACTTCCCTCTCTGCTCAGCATCTTTCTCCTGCAGGCCAAACAGTTTTCTTGATGGTTGGTTCCCGGGTGGCGAAGCATGCGCCTTCAACTTGGCCGCATGCTCTCCAGGTTTCTTCTGCCATGACACCACGGCGAATCACATATGTCTTCAACATCTGATCTGCAGGGATTAGCTTGCACAACCTGTTCAGTGGCGCCAAGAAACTGTTGACTAGTCAAGCACGCTGCCACACTATGCCAAAAGAATACGCATCAACGCAACATCTGAAGAATCTCCACTCCTCAAGCGCGCGCTGCAGCGACAGCTGGTGTTGACTTTGCTGCTCCTGAGGGAAAACTCTTCAATTGAAATTGCAATTTCAGGCAAACACAGCCCCTCTCAACCTCTTTGGACCTGAATTAGCGTTGATGGGACTGTCAAACATTAAACTTGACAACCAGCACTGTGGCTCTACCCTCCAATTGGCCTCCAATTTATTTCTGTGCTCAGCATATTTATCTTGCCAAACTAAACGACTGTCATCTTGTGTCGATAGTACTCAAGCGCGCAGCTGGCGCACCTCAAGTGCCTTCTGAATGCCGAGATTGTCGGAAGTCTGGTCTTCCTGATAGGCGCTGCTTGGAGTCAACATCCTAGCGACCCTACTGAGCATCATGTGGCCCTGCAAGGGTAAGAACTGATAAACAAACTATTCAGTTCTGTGACAGCGCAGGTCACGCAACGCCAGCCCCAGCCTCTCGACTGCCATTGCGCTGCTGCTGCTGCTGTTGCTTGTCCATCTCCTGGCATAACATAATCGAATTGGTTTATTTTTAGTTTCCCATTCGCCCTTACAGCTGCTGCATCGAAAGATCGGACATGATTCAGCGTGCGGAATCTCATGTCCCATGGCAATGGCCGACTTGTGTTCATGTATGTGGTGGCGAAAGTAGCATGGACTGATTCCGCAACAGGCCCACCCACACACACGCACACACGCACAGGCATATGTTACCGGTGCCAGCCTGCAACTTGGCTTCGTGCTCGGCACGCTGCTCCTACCGCGTCAACTAATGGCAAGGGCCAAACGCCAAAATACGCCAAAGATATGTCACCACCATGCTGGTCTGGAAGCTGCTCAGTGGCTCCGAGGCACCGTTGAATCGTCAAGAATGAACCCCCCACTCTGTGCCAACGGAAACAGCAAGGCAATATTAATAGAATCTTGAAAAAAACCGGCCCGAAAAACCAACGCGCTCAACGCTTGCTGCTTCTGCCGAAAACCAAGATGCCAAACGATGCGATCTCTCCCGCTCCTCAAGCGCATGCTGAAGCGCCTTCTGGTGTTGCGCTTGTTGCTCCTGCGGCGACACTTCAGTGGCAATTCAGGTCAGCGCAGCCCGGGCAGCTCAGCCATGCAATGGGGCGCCCGAAACTCAGCCTGTTTCTGCGGAGACACAATTAAAACATTGCAATGCGCGGCTCAGGCAGCACGGGGCAACCCTCCAGTCGGCCTCCAACTTCCCTCTCTGCTCAGCATCTTTCTCCTGCAGGCCAAACAGTTTTCTTGATGGTTGGTTCCTGGGTGGCGAAGCATGCGCCTTCAACTTGGCCGCATGCTCGCCTGGTTTCTTCTGCCATGTCACCACGGCGAATCACATATCTCTTCAACATCTCATCTGCAGGGATTAGCTTGCACACCCTGTTCAGTGGCGCCAACAAAACTGTTTGTTGACTAGTCAAGCACGCTGCCACACTATGCCAAAATAATACGCATCAACGCAACATCAAGAATCTCCACTCCTCAAGCGCGCGCTGAAGCGATAGCTGGTGTTGACTTTGCTGCTCCTGAGGGAAAACTCTTCAATTGGAATTGCAATTTCAGGCAAACACAGCCCCTCTCAACCTTTCTGGACCTGAATTAGCGTTGATGGGACTGTCAAACATTAAAACTTGACAAACAGCACTGTGGCTCAACCCTCCAATTGGCCTCCAATTTATTTCTGTGCTCAGCATCTTTATCTTGACAAACTAAGCGACTGTCATCTTGTGTCGATAGTACTGAAGCGCGCAGCTGGCGCACCTCAAGTGCCTTCTGAATGCCGAGCTTGTCGGAAGTCTGGTCTTCCTGACAGGCGCTGCTTTGGAGTCGACATCCTAACGACCCTACTGAGCATCATGTGGCCCTGCAAGCGTAAAAACTGATAAACAAACTATTCAGTTCTGTGACAGCGCAGGTCACGCAACGCCAGCCCCAGCCTCTCGACTGCCATTGCGCTGCTGCTGCTGCTGCTGCTGCTGCTGCTGCTTGTCCAGCTCCTTCAAAGCACAATCAAATTAATTGATCTTTAGCTTCCCTCATTCGCCCTTACAGCTACTGCATCAAAAAATCGGACATGATTCAGCGTGCGGAATCTCATGTCCCATGGCAACGGCCGGCGACTGTTCATGTATGTGGTGGCAAAAGTAGCATGGACTGATTCCGCAACAGGCCCACCCAGACACACACACACACACATTGCGTCGCAATACCAAGTGTCGGGGTAGCAAACCGTTGACTATACGTCATGCACAGGCATATGTTACCGGTGCCAGCCTGCAACTTGGCTTCGTGCTCGGCACGCTGCTCCTACCGCGTCAACTAATGGCAAGGGCCAAACACCAAAATACGCCAAAGATATGTCATCACCATGCTGGTCTGGAAGCTGCTCAGTGGCTCCGAGGCACCGTTGAATCGTCAAGAATGAACCTCCCACTCTGTGCCAACGGAAACAGCAAGGCAATATTAATTCTGTGTTCCATTGGTTGGGGGGTTTGGTGGGTATCTAGGGTTTTGCCTTTGGCCTGGCCGAAAGAAAGGCCCTGCATTGATCCACATGTTGCGGCCATAGTCATAATCAGGGGCCTTTCTCGCGCGCCTTTTCTTTTTAGCGGGCCTGGGCTTGCCCGCTTTTCAAAACGAATGCCCCATGCGTGTGAGAGGCTGCAGCCCAGGGATGTCAAGGACTGCTTTTGGCAACTTGAGGCCTCTGATCATGTCCTTGGTGGCCACTCCTGCCCTACCCTGTGGGCTAGCGCATGGAGACTCCCCAGCGAGTGGAAAGCAAGGCCGACATTTTTTAATGTTCAAGAGCCAACGGCTATGATGCTTTGAGCCAGGCTTTTGGGCCTTCAATCTGCAAGGCCATGGAGCACAGGCACTGTGAAACGTCCCAGTTGGTAGTGGCGCAAGCAGGCGCAGCATTGCCCGTCGCCCTTCAGGTTTTGTGGATCAAAACAATAGTTTCCTTTGGCAGCCTTACTATGAACATCGAGGTTGGAACCATTCCTGTGTAACAGCAAGTTGCGCCACTCGCTGCAGGCTAGCCGTTCTCGCCCAGCCAAATGAAGCACGCTTGGGTCGCGTGTTTGTGGGAAATGTGCCGGCAGACACCCAAGCTTCGCCGATCAGAAGCCCGTTTGCACCATGGGCTACCCTAAAAATTGCATCTCCAAACTAAGCCCTTCCTGCTACGAACGCTTGGCTGGAGCAGTCGCCACTGCTTCTTGGCACACAAAAGGAATAGGCTTGCTTGGAATCATTGAACCAACGGGCTGTGAGCCTGGTAAAGGCCAAAGTGTATCATGAATGATGTGCAAAATCCTGGACAGCGATTTCATGGTTTCATGACAGCACGTGACACCCCATGGCATCACAGCGCAGCACATCCAGGCTGATCAAACATCCAAGCTTTTCGAAAACTGCCTCCTTGCCAATGGACAAGTTGTTTTTGTTAAATTGCCTGCGCTATCCACTTTGTATTTTGCCGCCCTCCCACCCACAGGCAGAAACAATTTTCATGACATTCAAATTCTGGAGCCTTGCAAATGAACGGTGTTGGACCGGGTTTGAGCCCTCACTTTGCCTGTGATGTGTAGTATGCGCTGTGATGTGGTGCGGTGTGATGTGATGTGTGGTGTGATGCGACGTGGTGCGGTGTGATGTGGCGTGATGTGGTGTGATGTGATGCTATGTCATGTGCTGTGATGTGATATGTTGCTGTGATGTGATGAGCTGTGGTGTGATGAGACGCGGCGTGTCAAGATGTGATGTGTTGCGTTGTGATGTGCTTTGCTTGGCAAAGAAAAGGCACCACCAAACAAAAGGACTTTCCTTGGCCAATGAGCTGTTTGCTGCCTACTTGCATTTGGACCAAGCCAAACCAAATCTTGGCGCATCTAATCACAACTGACCACAACTGTGCCTTGATCAGATTTGATCAGGTTTCATGTTCGTCGGTGTGGGGTTGGGACCAAGCAAAACCAAACCTGATCAGACCTGGTCAAGTCTGATCAAATCTGACCAGCACTGTGTTTTTGATCAAGCTTGATTTTGATTGGTTTGGGCCAAAGGAGACAGCAAACAGTTTATTGCACCAAGGGGGTTGCTGCTGTTGGGCCTTGAGTTCTGAAGATGAAGCAACTCGTTTTTTTTGAGCGGACACAGTTCAGTGTTGAGTTTCCGAGGTTTTGGACTGTTCACGCACAGGGTCTTCCTTTAGAGGAGTCAGGGTTTCAAAATGTTACCTTGTGATTCGCCTCGGCTCCCCTACCAGGAGGTACAAACACAGTAATGTGTTGTGCTGTGATGTGCTGTGATGTGATGTGGTGTGTTACGCTGCGCTGTAATGTGGCGCAGCGTGGTTTTAATTGCTGTGATGTGGTGCGGTATGATGTGATGGGATGTAGTGTGATGTGTTGTGACGGCGATGTGATTTGTGTTGATGTGTTTCGCTGTGATATGACGTGATAAAATGTGATATGATGTTGCCATGTGGTGCGGTGATGTGTTGTGTTGTGATGTGCTGCGCTGTGATGTGGTGCAGTGTGATGCGATGTGGTGTGGTGTGATCCGATGCGAGATAATGTTGCGTGACGTGATGGGTTGCGCTGAACTGTGGTGTGGTGTGATGTTGTTTGGTTTGGTGGTTTGGTGTAACGTGATGTGATGCAATGTGATGTGATGTGGTGTGAGTTGCTTTGATGTGATGTGTGCTGCTACACTGCAATGTGATGTGATGTGATGCGATGTGTTGTAATGTGGCATACGGTGATGCGGTGTGATGTCACGTGATGTGGTGTGGTGTAGTGTGATGTGATGGGTGTGATGTGATGTGTTTTGGCATGTACTGATAAGGTCATCTTAGGTGATGTGTTGTGGTCTTATGTGCCGTGATGTGATCTGGTGTGGTGTGGTGTGATGTCATGTGCTGCAATCTGATGCGATGTCATGTCATGTGATGTAGTGTGATGTGTTGCGATCTGGTGTGATTTGGGTTCATGTGTGTGTTGATGTGCTGTGCTGTTGTCTTGTGGTGCGTTGTGTTGTGTTGTGATGCGACTTGTCGTGTTGAGATGTGGTATGGCGGGATGGGGTGTGTTGTGATGCAATGTGTTGCGGTGTGGTGTGCTGTGGTGTAATGCGATGTGATGCGGCGAGGTGTCAAGTGGTGTGGTGCGGTGGGCCTACTGCAAACAGCAACCTTTCAAGAAGGACTGGTGCAGAAGCACTCAGCCCTTGAGCTGGCCTTTGCAAGAAAACGGTTCAGATTGTCTAGAACTTCTTTTCGTGCAGTATTGATGTGTTCATTTATTGTGCTTGGCACAAAAGCTAGTTTTTATTTGATTGTGATATTTGATTTTGATTTTGAACCAGGGCCCTATTATTAAATTCTATTGGAAACCGCCCTTCAATTGACCAATTTTCAGCAAAGTTGATCGAGACTGTCTGTTGGAAGAAAGAAAGGAAGGGCTGGGGAAAGGCGGCTGAAACCCAATTGTTTTGCGACACCGCATTCCGTTTATGATATTTTGTGACGAGCCCGAACGTTGCCATAGGTGTTTGTGACGAGCGCAGGGGTTACATAGGTGTTTTGTGACGAGTCAGCCCCGTGACATAGCATTTTGTGACGAGTTCGGTCCCGATTCTTCACAAAACATGGTTTGACCAAAAAATGGTGCATTCTTCACAACATGGCCGGCTGACTGAACCCTACGCTTTGTGACGGATTGTGTCCCAGTCAGTCACAAACCCTTTCGGAAATCCCGAAAATTATTCAAATTTTTCGCGGGCGGTTGAAGAATGTTGAAGAGCTCTCCACCTCCGCTACTATTTGTGACGGATGAGGTCCCCATTCTTCACAAACAAGAGGTGTTGGGGATTTGTAAGGATATGTTTTCTTCAGCCCTTCACAAAACGGACCTTTCAAAATACAGTCTTCACAAAACGTGACGTACAAACAAAGAAGATTTCCCAATGGCACCCTCACAAAATGACGGGCAGGCTGTCACTAAACCTTTTTTGTTCAGGCTTTGTTGGCTTGCTGCGTGCAATCTGGAGTGCTTCGGCCATTGGGACCCCTTGTTGCCGCAGTCGTCTGGCTGCCCGATACCGATGCCTAGCTGCACGGCTTGGACGCTCGACAAGTAGCCGAAGTTGGTTGGGATCCTCGTGGTGTTGTTTACAGCATTTATTAAGTTTAGGGCCCTCCTTCAATATCGAAATCAAATATCACAATCAAATAAAAACAAGTGTTTGTGCCAAGCACAATCAATGAAACCATGAATAGCGCACGAAAAGAAGTTCTACACAATCTGAATCGTTTTCTTGCAAAGGCCAGCTCAAGGGCTGAGTGCTTCTGCACCAGTCCTTCTTGAAAGGTTGCTGTTTGTTCTAGGCCCACCGCACCACACCACTTCACACCTCGCCGCATCACATCGCATTACACCACAGCGCACCACACCACACCACAACACATTGCATCACAACACATCCCATCCCGCCATACCACATCACAACACCACAAGTCGCATCACAACACAACACAACGCATCACAAGACAACATCACATCACATCATCACACACACACATGAACCCAAATCACACCAGATCGCAACACATCACACTACATCACATGACATGACATCGCATCAGATTGCAGCACATGACATCGCACCACACCACACCAGATCACATCACGGCACATAAAACCACAACACATCACATTAGATGACATGTTCATTACATGGCGCCAAAACACATCACATCACACCCATCACATCACACTACGCCACACGACATGACGTGACATCACACCGCATCACTTTATGCCACATTGCAACACATCACATCACATGGCATCGCAGTGCAGCAACACAAATCATATCACAGCAAGCCACACCACACAAAATCGCAACACAACATATGACGCCGCAACCATCACAGCACAGCGCATCACAACACAATACATCACCACATCGCATGACAACATCTTATCACATCATATCACATCATATCACATCAAGCACGTCGCATCGCCGTCGCAACACGTCACACTACATCACATCAAATCACATTACGCACCGCACCGCATCACGGCAAATGAAACCACACCGCGCCACATCACAGCGCAGCGCAACACGCCACATCACAACTTTACAGCGCGTCACGGCACAAACGCACACACACACACATCTGTTTGTACCTCCTGGTAGGGGAAGACCCTATACATGAACATTCCCAAGCTCAGCAAAACTCATCACTGGACCCTGTCAACTCGAAAAACTCGAATAGTTCCATCTTCAGAACTCAAGGCCCAACAGCAGCAAGCCCCTTGGTAAAATAATCTGCTTGCTGTCTCCCTAGGCCCAAACTAAGCAAAATCAAGCTTGATCAAAAACACAGTGCTGGTCAGATCTGATCAGGTTTGATCAGGTCTGATCAGATTTGATCGGCCTTGTCAGATTTGATCTGATTTGGTTTTGCTAGGTCCCAACCCCAAACCAAAGAACATGAAGCCTAATCAAATCTGATCAAGACACGGCTTTGGTCAGATTTGATAAGGATGCGCTAAGATTTGATTTTGCTTGGTCCAAACGCAGCTAGGCAGCAAACAGCTCATTGGCGAAGTGAAGTCCTTTTGTTTGTGGTGCTTTTTTTTCCAGGCAAAGCGCATCGCGACGCAATGCATCACATCAACACATCGCATCACACCACACCACACCACATCACGTTACAGCGTACCACATCTTGACACACCACATCACATCACACCACAGCTCATCACGTCGCGGCAACATATCACATTGCAGAACATTATAGCATCGCATCACACCGCATCACATCACACCGCATCACACCCACACCCCCTCACATCACACCAATTAAATTGTACCGCACCGCATCACATCACATCACAGCACATACTACACATCACACCGCATCACATCACACCGCATACTACACATCACAGGCAAAGTGAGGGCTCCAAAACCCGGTCCAACACCGTCCATTTGCAAGGCTCCAATTTTTGAGTGTCACGAAAATTGTTTCTGCCTGTTGGTGGGAGGGCGGCAAAACACAAAGTGCATAGCACAGGCAATTTAACAAAAACAACTTGTCCATTGGCGAGGAGGCAGTTTTCGAAAAGCTTGGATGTTTGATCAGCCTGGATGTGCTGCGCTGTGATGCGACGGGGTGTCTCGTGGTGTTATGAAATCATGAAATTGAGTGGCAGGCCGACATGGCCACCCTGGCGCTGTCCAGGATTTTGCACATCCTTCATGACACACTTTGGCCTTTACCAGGCTCACAGCCCGTTGGTTCAATGATTCCAAGCAAAAATAATCCTTTTGTGTGCCAAGAAGCAGTGGCGACTGCTCCAGCCAAACGTTCTTAGCAGGAAGGGCTTAGTTTGGAGATGCAGTTTTTAGGGTAGCCCATGGTGCAAACGGGCTTCTGATCGGCGAAGCTTGGGTGCCTGCATGCACATTTCCCACAAACATGCGACCCAAGCGTGCTTCATTTGGCTGAGCAAGAACGGCTAGTCTGCAGCGAGTGGCGCAACTTGCTGTTACACAGGAATGGTTCCAACCTCGATGTTCATAGTAAGGCTGCCAAAGGAAACTATTGCTTTGATCCACAAAACCTGAAGGGCGACGGGCAATGCTGCACCTGCTTGCGCCACAACTATCTGGGACGTTTTACATTGCCTGTGCTCCATGGCCTTGCAGATTGAAGACCCAAAAGCCTGGCTCAAAGCATCATAGCCGTTGGCTCTTGAACATCAAAAAAAGTCGGCCTTGCTTTCCACTCGCTGGGGAGTCTCCATGCGCTAGCCCACAGGGTAGGGCAGGAGTGGCCACCAAGGACATGATCAGAGGCCTCAAGTTGCCAAAAGCAGTCCTTGACATCCCTGGGCTGCAGCCTCTCACACGCATGGGGCATTCGTTTTGAAAAGCGGGCAAGCCCAGGCCCGCTAAAAAGAAAAGGCGCGCGAGAAAGGCCCCTGACTATTGCCGCAACATGTGGATCAATTCAGGGCCTTTCTTTCGGCCAGGCCAAAGGCAAAACCCTAGATACCCACCAAACCCCCCAACCAATGGAACACAGAATATTACTAGAATCTTGAAAAAAACCGGCCCAAAAAACCAATGCGCTCAACGCTTGCTGCTTCTGCCGAAAACCAAGATGCCAAACGATGCGATCTCTCCCGCTCCTCAAGCGCATGCTGAAGCGCCTTCTGGTGTTGAGCTTGTTGCTCCTGCGGCGACACTTCAGTGGCAATTCAGGTCAGCGCAGCCCGGGCAGCTCAGCCATGCAATGGGGCGCCCGAAACTCAGCCTGTTTCTGCGGAGACACAAATTAAAACATTGCAATATGCGGATCAGGCAGCACGGGGCAACCCTCCAGTCGGCCTCCAACTTCCCTCTCTGCTCAGCATCTTTCTCCTGCAGGCCAAACAGATTTCTTGATGGTTGGTTCCTGGGTGGCGAAGCATGCGCCTTCAACTTGGCCGCATGCTCGCCTGGTTTCTTCTGCCATGTCACCGCCAAGAACCGACAGAACCTATCTCTTCAACATCTGGTCTGCAAGGAACCGTTTGCGAAACCTGTTCAGTGGCGCCGAGGAGCTGTTGACTAGTCAAGCACGCTGCCACACTATGCCAAAAGAATACGCGTCAACGCAACATCTCAAGAATCTCCACTCCTCAAGCGCGCGCTGCAGCGACAGCTGGTGTTGACTTTGCTGCTCCTGTGGGGAAACTCTTCAATTGCAATTGCAACTTCAGGCCAATACAGCCCCTCTCAGCCTTTCTGGACCTGAATTAGCGTTGATGGGATTGTCAAACCTTAAAACTTGACAAACAGCACTGTGGCTCAACCCTTCAATTGGCCTCCAATATATTTCTGTGCTCAGCATATTTATCTTGCCAAACTAAACGACTGTCATCTTGTGTCGCTAGTACTGAAGCGCGCAGCTGGCGCACCTCAAGTGCCTTCTGAATGCTGAGCTTGTCAGAAGTCTGGTCTTCCTGACAGGCGCTGCTTTGGAGTCAACAACCTAGCGACCCTACTGAGCATCATGTGGCCCTGCAAGGGTAAGAACTGATAAACAAACTATTCAGTTCTGTGACAGCGCAGGTCACAACGCCAGCCCCAGCCTCTCGACTGCCATTGCGCTGCTGCTCCTGCTGCTGCTGCTGCTGCTGCTGCTGCTGCTTGTCCAGCTCCTTCAAAGCACAATCGAATTAATTGGTCTTTAGCTTCCCTCATTCGCCCTTACAGCTACTGAATAAAAAGAATCGGACATGATTCAGCGTGCGGAATCTCATGTCCGATGGCAATGGCCGGCGACTGTTCATGTATGTGGTGGCAAAAGTAGCATGGACTGATTCCGCAACAGGCCCACCCACACACACACACACACATTGCATCGCAATACCAAGTGTCGGGGTAGCAAACTGTTGACTTACGTCATGCACAGGCATATGTTACCGGTGCCAGCCTGCAACTTGGCTTCGTGCTCGGCACGCTGCTCCTACCGCGTCAACTAATGGCAAGGGCCAAATGCCAAAATATGCCAACGATATGTCATCACCATGCTGGTCTGGAAGCTGCTCAGTGGCTCCGAGGCACCGTTGAATCGTCAAGAATGAACCCCCCACTCTGTGCCAACGGAAACAGCAAGGCAATATTACTAGAATCTTGAAAAAGACCGGCCCGAAAAACCAACGCGCTCAACGCTTGCTGCTTCTGCCGAAAACCAAGATGCCAAACGATGCGATCTCTCCCGCTCCTCAAGCGCATGCTGAAGCGCCTTCTGGTGTTGAGCTTGTTGCTCCTGCGGCGACACTTCAGTGGCAATTCAGGTCAGCGCAGCCCGGGCAGCTCAGCCATGCAATGGGGCGCCCGAAACTCAGCCTGTGTCTGCGGAGACACAATTGAAACATTGCAATATGCGGATCAGGCAGCACGGGGCAACCCTCCAGTCGGCCTCCAACTTCCCTCTCTGCTCAGCATCTTTCTCCTGCAGGCCAAACAGTTTTCTTGATGGTTGGTTCCTGGGTGGCGAAGCATGCGCCTTCAACTTGGCCGCATGCTCGCCTGGTTTCTTCTGCCATGTCACCGCCAAGAACCGACAGAACCTATCTCTTCAACATCTGGTCTGCAAGGAACCGTTTGCGAAACCTGTTCAGTGGCGCCGAGGAGCTGTTGACTAGTCAAGCACGCTGCCACACTATGCCAAAAGAATACGCGTCAACGCAACATCTCAAGAATCTCCACTCCTCAAGCGCGCGCTGAAGTGACAGCTGGTGTTGACTTTGCTGCTCCTGTGGGGAAACTCTTCAATTGCAATTGCAACTTCAGGCCAACACAGCCCCTCTCAGCCTTTCTGGACCTGAATTAGCGTTGATGGGATTGTCAAACCTTAAAACTTGACAAACAGCACTGTGGCTCAACCCTTCAATTGGCCTCCAATATATTTCTGTGCTCAGCATATTTATCTTGCCAAACTAAACGACTGTCATCTTGTGTCGATAGTACTGAAGCGCGCAGCTGGCGCACCTCAAGTGCCTTCTGAATGCCGAGCTTGTCAGAAGTCTGGTCTTCCTGGCAAAGCGCTGCTTTGGAGTCGACATCCTATACTGAGCATCATGTGGCCGTGCAAGGGTGAGGACTATAAACAAACTATTCAGTTCTGTGACAGCGCAGGTCACACAACGCCAGCCCCAGCCTCCCCCTTGTCCTGCTGCTCCTCCTGCTGCTCCCGCTGCTGCTCCTGCTGCTGCTGATGCTCCCGCTGCTGCTCCTGCTGCTGCTGCTGCTGCCGCTTGTCCATCTCCTCCAGAGCATAACAGCTCCATCTTTGGTTTGACTCGTTTGCCCTTTCAGCTTCTACAATGAAAGATTGGACCTGATTGTGTCCCACATGAAACCTGGTTGGACATCTCCTAACCACCTCGTAGTGTGCGAAATCTCGATCTAATAATTGCCAATCTCTACTCACTGGAGTGGAGGCTGGCATGTGCACAATATGGGGCCAAATAATCCCGAACCCACACAGCGCAGCATGGCATCGCAATGCCAAGTTTGGGGGCAGCAAACTGCTCCACGACGGGATGCTCAGGCATATATGGTAGCGGCGCCAGCCTGCACCTTGGCTTCGTGCTCGGCCCGCTGCTCCTATGTCAACAAACTCTAAGCATGACTCAACAATATCATGAACTCGTTCTGAAGTGACTGCAATGCTTAGGGAAGGTAAAGGAGGCTAAAGGAATTTAAAGGAAGCTAAGGGAGGCTAAAGGAAGCCAAAGGAAGCTAAAGGAGGCTAAAGGAGACTAAAGGAGGCTAAAGGAGGCTAAAGGAGGCTAAAGGAGGCTAAAGGAGGCTAAAGGAGGCTAAAGGAAGGAAACAAGCTTGGGGAAGGTAAAGTAAGCTAAAGGAGGTTAAAGGAAGTTAACGGAAGCTAAAGGAATCTAAAGGAAGTTAAAGGAAGCTAACGGTAGATAAAGGCTGCTAAAGGAGGATAAAGGAGGTTAAATGGTTTGCAGTAACCCCCCTTGCCCCCCCTCAGAACGAGTCCATGACAATACCCAGCGCGTCAGCTGTTCAGTCGGCCCGAGGCACCGTCAAAAAATCAAGCAGACTTCCAAACGACGCCAAACCAAAACAAGGCATTGCAAAAGAAAGCCCGGCCCAAGCAACCAACACGCCCAACGCTCACTGCTTCTGCCGAAAATCAACATATCTGACACATATGATCTAATCTCCCCCACTCCTCGAGCGCGTGCTGAAGCGCCTTCCGGTGTTGAGCTTCTTGCTCCTCAGGCGACACTCAGTGGCAACTTCAGGTCAGCGCAGCCCGAGCAGCTTAGCCATGCGGTGCTCGAAACTCAGCTTGCATTTCCGTGATGGTTACACAGTGCATTACGCGGACCAGGCAGCATATGGGGAACCCTCCAGTCCGCCTCCAGTTTCTTCGCGTGCTCACCGTCTTTCTCCTGCAGGCCAAACAGTTTTCTTGACGCGTGCTTGGTTCCTGGGTGGCGAAGCATGCGCCTTCAACTTGGCCGCATGCTCGCCAGGTTGCTTCTGCCATGTCACTGCCAAGAACCGACAGAACATATCTCTTCACCATCTGGTCTGCAAGGAATAGCTTGCGCAGTCTGCTGAGTACCCCCACAACACCGTCGAATAGGCAAGCACGCTGCCACACCATGCCATGTCAAAGCATATCCTCAGGAACCTCCTACCCAAAACAACAACATGCCCCTGCTTCTGCTGCAACGATGCAATCTCCCCCCTCATCAAGGGAGTGCCAGTGGGTATTGTCTTGTTTGCAGCTGGTTTCTGAGGGAACTAGCTTCGCTCGGACAGCCAAACATTGTGACTCGCAAACAAAGGGGGGAACACCCTCCAATCGGCCTGCAATTTACTTCTGTGCTCAGCGTCTTTCTCCTGGACAAGCTGTTGCAATCTTGTGTCGATAGCAATCAAGCGTGCAGCTGTCGCACCTCAAGTGCCCTCTGGATGCTGAGTTCGTGGGGAGTCTGGTCTTCCTGGCAAGGCGCTGCTTGGGAGTCAACATCCTATAGGAACCTAACAATTGACCATACTCAGCATCATGTGGAGCTTACATGGTAAGAACTAATTAAATGATTTCAGCTCTCTGACAGCGCAGGTGCTGGTGCTGGTGCTGGTGCTGCTGCTGCTGCTGCTGCTGCTGCTGCTGCTGCTGCTGCTGCTGCTGCTGCTGCTGCTGCTGCTGCTGCTTCTGCTGCTTGACCCTCTCCTGCGCAGTGCTGCTGGAGGCGCAAGCCTGCAGTTCAATTTGCTCCCCACGTTCCAGCAGCGTTTGGCGCTACATGGCCCTGTGGATCTGCGGGAAAAAGGGTACTAAGGGTACTGCATGCCTCCTAAAAGGAATTCAATGCTTCAGCGAATGCTGAAAAATCGAATTGATGTCGAGCTCGCTGCACCCACGGCACTGACAAAAGCACTCACCTTTGGCGACCTTCCAGACTTCAAACCCCAGTCTCCAAATTGACCGCCTCCTTCGTGGGAAGAGCCGCTGGCATGGGCTGCCACTCCTATGCACCGTTGGTCTCAGCATATGCTTGTGCACACGGCTCCCCAGTTCTGGCCGGTCTGGAGCTTCCCGCCCAAAGTCGGTGTGCAACACGCACACTCCCAGGCGCGAATCCGTCCGTCAACACACGCACATTTGAAATGGATTTGCAGCAAGCCTGTGAAGCCATGCAACCGAAATCAGCAATGTCTTCCATCATTGCACATGGACCCTTGTTTCAACTGCTCATGCAGCTTGCTTTGTCCAAGCAGTCTTGTAGCTGTTTGGTCTTGACTTTGCCCATCATGCAAGGTTCACAGAATTTGTTAACTTGGATCGTCTTCAGCATGTAAGCAGTGATTTGCCCTGGTAAAGACCAAGGGCTTCCAACACAGCTAGCTACGAGGGCGCTGTGTCTTGCTGTGCTGCAGCGAGCAAGCATCAACGCAAAAATTAAGCTAAGCAAAGCAAGTTTAGCATGCGGCATTGAACACTTGATTCTTTGCCTCTGATCCTGACTCAACTGCACAGCAGGTGGTTGTGCCACGCGGCAAGAAGTGCGATCGGAATTGTACAAGTTGACCCCGCCTCCACTTCGCCTGTATGCTGGGCCATCTCCTGCCCCAAATGAAAATGCACTTTGATGCCGCTGTTTCCCTGGGTCTCTTCCCATGGCTTGGTTCTGGAACTTATCTCGCAGCTCCCCTCAAGGCCTCAATATGGCTTCATGAGCCTCCTTGTGCCATAGGCACCTTTGCATACAGGACTTATTCAATAAGAACAGCCCATGTGACACGTGACATGCATATACAAACACATAAATTGGCCTCTTGCCCTAACTTGAAACGGTGAATATAATATGTGTTCAAGCAATTGCAACTGTCATGGGTGGTCAAGGGGACAACTCAATGAGACCATAGATGGCTGGTTGCTCCTGATTTGCCCTGCTTGAAACGGCCGGCATTCCCAAGAACTACAGGTTCTCTTGTCATTCCTTTGTCATTTGTCCCCGAAGTATGGTCTCTGACTACTCTCACCTGACACGCTTCTTTAAATGACTTCTGGAATCCAGTCCTGAGCTGCTCGCTCAGGCTCAGAGTGATGATCGAATTGCTTGGCCTCGCATGAAAGTAAAACATCGAAACAGGTCTAAAAGGATCCCGGCTGCCAACGAAACCAGCATGCAGCTGCACACAACTTCTTCATTGAGCACTCATCACTACGTTCTTGCATCGAGGGTGAGTATGACTAGCAACGCCTCGCAGCCACAAGTTTGAGTACCTTCGGAGCTACAAATACAAATCTTTGGTTTTGTACGGAATTGTCCAGCGCCAAATTCTACAGAGTTGTCCAACATAATCCAAATATGTGTCATGAAACACATTGCACGCGTGATGCAGCTTGTGCTCTGACGGGAACGCCGACAGTGCGAACAAGGAGTAGCAAACACCCACACAAATTGATCTTGCGTGCCTACACACCGACTCAAAAGCTGGTTGAACACAAAGATTCTGAGGATCAATCACTAGGAGTGAGACAAAAAGCCATCATCCAACGCTCCAGCTGGCCTGCTTGACAGCTGCTCTGTCCTGGCCCAAGGACTCAGATCTCAGAGCCGCGAGCCTCTTTAGCTGGAAAAGCGAGGTGAAGAAACAACCGAGGAGTCCGGTTTGGGACCCAGGTTTGAGCACAGCCCTACCCTCTCATTCTGAAAACTCGCGCTGCGACAATCCTGCACCAACTCGGCTGGAGGAACTGGTGCAGGAGTTTGTCCGTCCAGGGTAGTACTCTTGCAAAGCAAAGTCCATCAACTTGCGTCATCCACTCCTTCGTTCGGACGCCTGCAGGTTGCCCCCGCGAGGCCTTATCCTGCTCCTGCGGTGTGCAAACATTGTCTGCAGAGTCTGTTGCGACGAAGCTGCTGTGGATGCCACGTGGAAACCCAATGTTAACAATCAACTATTCAACCTACAGATGAGCAATGGACAACGCGTTCCCCGAGGGTCCAGTTTTAATCGAGCCCACGGCCTCCCACCTTTCGAAAGCCACAGCAACACACATAGCCTGTACCCAAGACATCCGCAAATGTTGTGTCCGACTTGAACGCCAACTGTGCTGTATCTGTCAAGGAAATCCCCAATGATATCGCCCAAAACAGTCCAACAACTAGGCCTTCCTCAGCCTCCGGCACCAACATGGTCCCTAGGCTTGGGATGGGCCCGCTGCCTTTCATGCGCTGAAGGGCGATTAGAGAATCTCATGGACCCCGACCGTCCTGAAGAGCCCTTTGAAGCTCCGCGCGCTGATGGGCCTGCAAGGCCTACAGGCGCCACCAAAAGGTGGCCACCAGACATTCAGCTACAAACCTATGCACCATCTCTTGATTTACGTGTATATGTATGCGCGTGTGCATATAGGTGTTACATATCCATAGGCATGTCAAACAGTGTCGCTGCAGTCAGCCAGGCAAGCACACAATCCCACGTCCTGCCTCCAATGTCTTTCTTGGCTGCCCTCCCTCCTTCAGTCCCGTGCGGCGCAAGCCGCGGATGCACATCATTGACTTCGATAAACACAACGGTATAAGTTATACCGGGTCAACAAGGAAATTTATGTTTACCATTGCAGTCAGTGAAAGTCAAAGGCTCAAACTCAGAAGCCTTGCTTTGCTTGTGATCTCTGCCAAACTTGCTCCACACGTGCAGCGTCTAAGGCAAATTTGTGGAAACCACATGTCTTGCTTGGGACTACATGCAGCCACCCCTCAGGAACTAATGTGTCCTTGCTGCGCCAAGTTTGCGGAACGAGCAGCAGAAAAACAAGCAGACGCAATGCGAACACTCGGTGCAGAAGTGTCCTCCAAGGTTGCCTGTGTCTCCTTGCCATGACCAGCGAGGTCCTGACCACATGGGCGTGGCTTTAGAGACCATGCAAAGGTGGGGTCTGTAAAACATGCCTGCAAACTACAGCGGTTCTACTGGGAGGTCAATAGTGTCAATAGTCCAAGTTGTCCTCAGTGGAAATGGGATCGACATGCCGATCATGTGGAAAGAGATTGAACAGGTAGACAACATCGACATCTCTGTGTTCAAAATGCATCAAATCTATGTCATTCGTCACTCACACAACAATAACATGACAATGCCAAACGGCTAAACAGCAGTGGCTGATTTGATGCAACAAACGCTGGAATATTTGTTCCAGGCCGTAGACCTCCCCCCTCCCCGCCCCCCAACCCCCCCCCCCCCCTTGCGGGGGTGGGAGGGTTGGGTGGGTGGTTTGGCTTTGTTTAGGGTTGGTTTGGGGTGGGTATAGGGTTGGTTTAGGGTTGGCTTGGGGTTGGTTTAGGGTGGGTGTAGGGTGGGTTTAGGGTTGGCGTAGGGCTGGGTGTTTAGGGTTGGTTTAGGGTGGGTACAGGGTTAGTTTAGGGTTGCTTGAGGGTTGGTTAAGGGTTAATTTACAGCGGGTTTAGGGTGGGTGTTGGGTTGGCTTAGGGTTGGTTAAGGTTGATTTAGGGTTGGTTTAGGGTTAGGGTTAAGTGTTAGGGTTGGGGTTGCGGTTGGTTGTGGGTTGAGTTGTCCTACATGTCAGGATGCAAGGGTGCGAGTTCGAGGAGGGGGTCTGGGGACCGTAGCAGCGGGGTGGGCTCGGGGCTCGGACCCTACCCTTGGAGGGGGGGGGGGCGGGGTTGGTGGCCTGGGGACTGGAACATATATATATATATATGTGCTTCAACAAGGAACTCTTCGTGAACAGACCAGCTATGGGACAATGCATACTCCGGGAACAAATCGCCGGTTAACTGAAAGCAGCACAAGCAGATTCATTGTCAATGCACAAACAAATGAACACAGAGCTGACTCGACGACTCGATATAACACAATGTAGGAACAAATTCCTAAACCTAAGAACTGTACCAGAAGCATCGTCAGAGTATCTTGAAGCGTTCCGGTCCTGAAACTGTAGGGTCCCAGCTTGTGCCTGGCGCAAGTCGGCCAAGCCAGGTAGCTCCGCATTCTTACGGAACACACATGCCGCAGAATGCGATTGCATGCCAATGTACTGGAAAGGTTCACGTCTCCACAACAAGAGCGCGCGTCACGTTCGCATCTAAAATGTGTTCGCTTGCGAACCTGGATGTTTAGGGCAACATGTCGGCAGTGTGTCTTTCATACTAGTGTGTGTGGGCACGTGAAGCACACGCAAAGACAAGACATTTGTGACACGTTGTAGGGCAAATATTGGTCGCAAGACCGTCCAGCGGTTGATGAGCTCAGTTGTCCGAATGCAAGCAACAAAACACCAGCATGGCTTCCCTAGTCATGCAATCGTTGCAGCTGGCGCAATCTTCTCAGTTGGGACGGCAGGAAAGGAGAGTCAAAGTGAAGGGCATACACAATGCACCTCAAGGACAACATAGGTTCAAAAGCTACTCCTCGAAATAATACATTGCAACATTCACACATGCAGCTTTGCATGTTGGTGCGAGTGAGAAGCAGCACCATCATCAAGTAACAACCATCGATTCATGACCTGATACACAAGAACCATGAAGCAATGCAAATCATTTTGTGACCATCCGTTGAACAATTACCGACTATCAGACAGTTGTTAACCGATATCAACAATCACTTAGTAGCATAAGCACACACTATCAACCAGTATCAACCAGTAGTTAATAACAAAAGCACCAGTTATGCACCAGGTTTGACCATGAATTGGGACAACAACCATCACTTGTGGACCGGTGCACACTATAGATTCGCCAAAGATTGAGAGCTATATCATTCATAGGTTTGACAATTGTCGCTATCATTCATGGGGGTTATCATCATTGACCGGTTCAGTACTGGTTCATGATGGTCAGTCGCGGTCCTAACTTCAAGATGATTGTCCATTGGAACGTCGAAACCCTATAGCCTAAAGTCGGTTCTGGCATGGCGCCTTGCACCAGCTCACAGATCTGGCTGAGACTTTCTGCCCGTTAACAGCATGTCCCACCTTCGCAACCTCTGAGCATGTCACAATGCCCAGTTTGGGGAATACCAATGCGCATTGCAAGCCGTGACAGGGAGCGCCGGCAAGTCTTCCTTATAATGTATAAATAACATTCAAAAGCATGTCACGTATGAAAATTTGAGGGCCAATGCAGGATGGGGCACCCCCATTTCCGTGACTCAAAAGTGGGGTCATAACTGAACTTGCCCCCCAGCCTGCTGACCATCCTGGGCACCTGAGGATGCGCTAGCGGGGACTTCAAGGCGAAGCGCAACCTCTTGTAATTATTGTCTTTGCAGCGCGCTGATCACAACGAAATCAGCTCACGGCTGGGTGGGAACATGGAGTCTCCAGGAACAAATACTCCAGCTGAAGAGCGCCTTTGTTGGCAAGAATATGTTTGTTACATACAGTTGACAGGGATTGCCAAGAGCCCTGAAGGGAACTTAGCCAAGCAGGATCCTCGACCAACACCTTCGCACATTTCTGGTACACATACCTGCGGGCATGGCTACACGTGGAACAAAAACAACATCTGTGCCCTTCTCGGAGCTCAGAGAGCTGCGCTGAGAACGCAAATCGCATCGTTGTCTTCCAACTGTGGTCAGTGCGCAAAAGAAAATCTACACTTTTGGGGGAGCGTACTCTTTTCCAACAAGGCAGTCAAAACAGGACCAGTTGAGTTGTAACTTTTGACGCAAACTACTATTGGTCACAAAGAACGTCCGAAGTGAGTATCGCCCCCTGTGTACTCTGCCCTGCCTGTCGCCACTGGCTGCCTCAGCTGACTCACGCGACAGCCCTTTGGCACGTGTGGCAACTCTCTGACTGAAGTTTCGAACCGATGAAAACTGCCTTGTCAGCGGGCAAACGTCTATGCTCCAATGTGATTGAACTCTTCATAGTAGGTCGGCAAGAAAGCTTCCCTGGCAGCCCTGACCAAGTTGCATGGGCGCATCCCCTCGCCTCATCACTAGAGTCTGTTTTGGCTGGGTGGAGCTGTCTGTTTGAGCAACATGCCATTTCTGGCTGGCTCAAAGTGTCCGTTGCACATTGCCCAAAGCCACTACATCGCTGAGTCCAGGAAAATCCGCCGGCTTCATTGCATTGCATCCTGAGGCCCAGGCGATCGCTGGGACTCAGCGCGGGCGCACATACGGCATCCAAACAACCACTTGGGTCATTTGTGTGGCACGCACAGACGGACACCTGTTGATGCCCATTCGGCAAATCCATGCAGGTTGCCCTCTTCCCAAGAATTTGGACCACTGTCTGACAGGAAGGATCCCTGAAAAACATGGTCAAGCACAAGCCAGCAGCACATCCTTAATGAGCACTGTACCAGTACTTTATGACCACTCCACACTTGACGTGTTTGCAAAGGCAACAATACCTAGGTCTTCCAGTTGATCACTTTTTGGGGCTCTGGGACAATATGTTGCTCGTTTCAGATTTTGAGCAGAAAAACAATAAACAAGCGGAAACCTTGATTTGGCACGATTTGGCCAGTTTTCTTGCGGAAAGTGAGCGGAACTCGGCGGGACACGAGCGGAAATCAGCGGGAAATGAGCGGACATTTGCGGGTTATTCAGCGTTGTTTGGTGAAATGGGCGTGATTTTTGCCCGAAAAGGGAAAATACAGAAACAAGTGCCCACGGAAGACCTAGATATGTCAAACTCTTTCCTGAGAACCCTCCCGCAAGCATCCGGCGCTGGCCGGTTTCCTCACAACGAACCAGCGCACCTTTCGCTCACCTCGGCTCCGGGCTCGATTCTTCTGGGCCTCTTTGAAGCTCCTCACTTCCTCTAAGCCTCGGCTAAGGCTCGGAGGAAAAAAACGGTCCCAGTGACATCGAGTTTCGGGTTGCAATGCGCCGATTCCTTGCGGTTTTCGCATTCAAGCGGGGGTGTAGCCCATGTTGCAAACCTCCAAGACGCTTTGCAACACATTAGCCTTGTCTGGGTTGTCTACATTCCGTCTGCTTCGGGAGTCCTGAAACATGGAAGCCGCTCTGTGACGGACCACCCATTGTAAGGCAGGGCCAGGCAACGGCACATGTCCTAATGACGTGTGAGCCATTGCATGCTACTCCATTTAAATTGTCCATTCGTGGAGTATCCTGACCATGTTTGCAGTGGCAGAGGAGAGCTGCCTGCACTTTGAATAGCCAAAGACAACAAACACTGAAAACTCTCATTCAATCACCCTGGGAAAACCCACAATGACACTGGGCTCAGTCCTGCTCGAGTAAAAGCCAAAACACAACCAACGCCTCCGTAGGATTCATGGCCAAGATGCCATGAAGGCTCGCCGCTCGCAACGGTGAGCTCCTCGGAAAACACAACAAGGTTTCGTTGCGCAGTCAAGGGAAGCCTCGTGATGTGTCCACCGAAGTTGGCCTTGAGACTTGAATAATACACATGATGTAAACAATTTGGCTCTCATCCTAAGTCATGTTAATGAGCATACGTGGTCCAAAGACTAGCAATCCAACCAACCAACGTTCCTAAAGCTAAGAGTTGGTTGACGTCGCGCATGCTCAAGAACCAACCTTTCATGCCCGACGCAAGTGCATCATGAACACGTGTTCTGAAAGCAGGTTTTTGTTTGTTTTCTGTAGCCGTGTGCAGAACGAGCATGCTGGAAATGCGACGCTACACCCGCAATGGTACTGCTGCCACTGTTGGTATTTGGCCCATTAACCCTGATAGTCACAATTACAATAGCTGTTAGGATTCGGTCCCGGGCATAGCATCAAGCAACGTCTTGGTCTCTGGCGGCAAGACACATCATACCTGCATTAGAGTGGCTAGAATTAGAGTGGCCAAACCCAAAACGCCAGCCCCGATCTCGCAAATGCAGCACCGATCACAAGCACATGGAAGCACCGCCTGTGGACATGCTGACTAGGAAGATGCAAGAAGGGCACGGCCCGCTAAAGTCTTGGGGAAGCCTCATCCTATTTTGTAGCATCCGCTGAATGCTAGCTGGTGTACACGTGCAATATCATTGTCTTGGGCGAATATGTTGCATTACTACCTGCGTGCAAAGTGAAAACACCTGTGGTACTTGTTCATCTTTATCCCTCTCAAACCAAACTAAACCTCGAAGACACCACAAAGTACATCAGTCAAGTCTGCACAACTCATGTGCGCCAAAAAAAACAAGAACTGGACTTCAGGCCATAGGCACCTGCGTAAATATCGGCCAAGGCCCGTGCGGCTTCACCTGAGGGCCCGGTGCAAGTCTGGCCAACCTGGCTCCTCGCCCTCCTGCTGAAATAGGCGTTTAGAAGTGGTCAATTGAGTGCTGCTTGGATCCGACTTGCCACAGAAGAAACAGGTAGCATTCAGCCGAAAAGAAGGGCAACATGAAAAGCCATGAACATCAGCTCAATGTGCATCAAGAGTGGCAATAACTCTACTTGCTAGGGCTGCGAATTGGGGGGGGGGGAATGATCATAGATGCCTGGTTCGGCTTCATGGTTTCAGGATGGTTGCCTAACAGCCTTTGTAGACACGCTCCCTACTTACCAGCGGCCTTGAACCGAAGATGGATGCCACATGCAAAGGGTGCCTCTCGAATCTGTAGAATATTGTGTCATCAAATGAGAGGTTGTTGAACCTCAATGTTCTGCTGTTGCAGTTATTCTTGCATGTGCAATGACAATGCATCTTGATATATAGTGCCGACCAATTAATTCCATCCTCACTGTTCTTGGTTTCAGGGAAACAATCGGGACCCGGTGAAGCTGCGCAATGGCAGCGTCGCTGGAGCCAAGGCACTTCCGCGGGGCTAAACAACCACTCAGCGGTTACCAATCAGCTCCCAAGACAAATATGTTCGAACAGTCAAACTAGCTGGGGACCACGAAACAGCGCGGGTAGGTTGCATAATTAAAGTTGCAGCTCTTAATTTTAATTGGCCTGCTTTTGGCATTTTCTTTGACCATCCGAAAGGCCGACCAAGGATTTCGGCACATCTTTGTATGCTATTTGAACGGCGAAACTTGATTGCGTTGACTGTCGTACACGCCCTGCACGAACGCCTGAGAACCTTTCCCACAACGTGTCCGACGTTCCCAAATCAATCAATTGCCAGGATTCGTACTGGGCCCCGTGCAATTGATTTCCCAAGGGGTGGGTCCCTTGGTTTTGTTGCGATGTTGTTCACCTACCTGAGCACAAACGGGAGCGAAAGCCCGGCCTTGGGAGCAAAGCTCTGGACATCTGTCAGGCCTTAAACGTGCGGTCGCGGCCCTCGAAGCGGAAGACCATTGAGGCCTTGCTTGTCGGTGGAAACTGGGAAAAGCCACCAAACACGACTGGCACGACCGCTTGGTAGAAAGGCAATGTCGGGGAGGGTTTCGAAACAACCAAATGCATTTCTTCGCATAACCCAGCAGTGTTAAGTAAGACTAAGTGAACGGGTGCTCTAAACATAAGCTCCAGCTCGCATGGCTGCACGCAACACACCAACGACAAACTCCATAAGAGCGGTGCCAAGTCAATCACAAAATTGGGCCGTCTTTGACGGCTACCACACACCGGTCTGAGGAGATCAAGAGGCGTTGGCGAGTTGAGAGACACTCTGCTGCACTACTGCAATGAAAGCCTAGATCGAGGAGAAGACGGCACACCAAGTAAGTACTGTGTGAGTTTTGCAACAAAATGCATCGCTGTGCAGAACATGACTCCAAACTTGACACTTCAAGCACAAGCCAAGATTGATCACTAATCGTTTTTTGAAGTGTTGAACTGTGCATGGTTCTGCCCGACTGAAGGACCAACACAAAGGCTAACAAGCAAAGAGGCAAGTGTCCCTTCTGCTCACGAGCCCCCGGTTGCACCTTTGTCATGTCACAGTTCCAGCTGCAGGCCCATATGTACCCTCCGCTCCAAAGTAACAGCACCTGACTCTTGGTGGCACGACTTGTGACCCGGTCTCTGCGCCAGGGCTGCGGCCGTGAAGCCTTACGCCGCCCAATAACGGGCCTTTTTTCCTGACAAACGACATTGAAATTGTGCAGCGAGCAGCCAATCAATAAGGATGAAGTCCACTTGCAACATTGTGAGTGCCATGTAAAAGCTTGCCCTTTCTGCAATCTTTCAAAACATGAGGGCCTATCCACTAGTCAGCAGTCCCCGCATGGGCCAACATGTCAGGCCACCATCAACGCAAGCAGATACCTGCAGTGACACTGTCAGTTTTGATGGACATAGGCAGTCTGAGTCAACGTGCAGCTTTCTCGGACAGCGGCACTTGCTCGAGTTTCATCCAAAACGTAATTGTCCAGTGGACATGCATGCAACTGCAATCATTGATCGGTTCACCCCGAAACTTTGCTTGGACTTTGCTCCGTCCTGCAAGGCGGGTTCATTTGCGGTCTAGTGTTGCAACAGTTAACATACACAACAAATCCATGGAACATTCCATTTGGACGATATTTGCTGTTTTTCCGAGCGAAATACCGCAGCCAGAGGGCAAAGCTCAGGGTGTCTTGCTCGTATTGTGACGATAGAGGATTGGCCCCGAAGAAGACCAAGCTGCCAACTGCATTTCTTTGGATCCACACACGCGCACAGAAAGGATTCACTCCCGCAATACCTAGCTACATTGCATGACACGGCCCTTGCAACACAGCTTGATCACAAGTGGGCCAGCATCTATTCTTTGTTGTTGTGGGGCCGTGTCGTTTCGCAGGGGAATTAACACGGCTCATATACATATTGCGTTTACTGGCAGTACCCGGCAGTTGATGAACTGCCTTGGCACATGTATCTGCAGAAAGACCGTTGGCCTCAGACATGCTGATGTCGACTTGTTGCCGTCAAAACATGGTCAATATCCAGAGTACCCCTTGTCCAGCAGGCTAATGCCAACTTCGGCTTCCAGAAAAGTTCATGGTGGAGGGACACTTCAGGGATACTAACTAACTTTCTACCCTCAGTGCTTTGGAGCACCCCCGTGCCGCTTCCCTCCAGGCCTTGAATCTGCTTCCATGGCCGTGCAGCACCTGCGAAGCCACTTCAACCCTAGGAAGAGGTGTCTTTGGGGGGTACCCGAATTGACTGGAATCGCTGCTCCACCTTTGTTAATTCATGTACTATATACATAAATTAATAATTTATGTACTTTTTACCCTCCCTTCCACCAACATAGCACCTGTGGGAGGGTACTTGTAGGGACCCCCTGAAAGGTGCCATGTTAGTGGGAGTGAGGGTATATATATATATGGACAAGAAACCTTCAGGGGTACACCTGCAGGGGTGCATGGAAATCTGCAAAGTGCATGGCAACTCTGCAATGCTGCTCTTTGGCTAATACTGCTGATGGCTTCGGGTTTGGTCTCACGGCGACGCTTTACTTCAGCATGCCGTGCCAAGCAAGTGGAGCAGCTCTCGAGATATAGATTTGGCGCAAGGGTGAGTAGCCCCAACGAAGGCGGAACCTTCAACAAAAAGCAAACATGCTCCTCGCGTATGCCATGGTCAATTGTTCCAACGCTTGAACCAGTTTGATCAGTTTAATCTACTCCAGTTATACAGCGTTTCTATCATATTAAAAATGCCAGGAACAGCTGCAAAGACGCACTTGACACGGATAGCCGCACCATGGTAAAATGACTGCAGCAATTGATGCAGCGTGGTCAAGCCTCGCTTCGGCAACGCGACAACTGTCCCCTTGAAACCAGAAACATAGCAAAGACAGGCGTACGTGTCAAAGCCTCGGGTGGGAGTCATCGAAGCCAAACCGCCCAAAACTATTTTCCTTGCGGCAGGGTGACACGTCGTCAGCCAGGCGCTTGATCGCTCCGGCCAATCGGGGCCACTTTGGCGAAGCCCAGTCATTGCAGGAAGCCAATATAGGCGATCTGGATGTCCCCTAAATGTTGGCGAGTGATTTGACAAGGACCTGGAAAAGGGTTGACCTTTTGGTACCAGAAACCAATGTCAGACCAGGGTGGATGTGTCCTATCAAAAGAAGCTTTTCAGATCCAATGGCTCATCCCAGGTCTTTCGCTTGGAGGTACCGCTGATGCGCCTGCAGCAATGTCCAAACAACCAAAACTCCTCGCGTGGAGCAAGACTTGATGCCTGCAGCATGTGGGTCATGGTGCCCGAAGATTGAGGCATGATTCCGATGAATCGAACATATTCGAAAGATCATCGCAAGAAACGAGGGGTTCGCAACGGAGTTGGGAAATTCGCCCCTAGCTTTTGAGCAACATTGACGCCGTTCTCCATGTTGCTCGCACACTGATCATTGATGCCTGCAACTGCCGACCGACCCTCAAACTGAATCAAACTGGATGAAGGGATTTGACATTCGAGGCAACACTTGGACACTACGTCATGATGATCACAAAAGCAACCATGACATACGTTTGACAGGAACTTACACCTTGCCGCAAACAATTTGGCCTTTGCTGCTGAAGCGGCAAAGCGCTGCAAACAACATTTATCCATGTGCTTCTCACCTCCAGGTTCAAGTTGCAGAGAGGCCCATCCTTTCAAGCCTGCGCCAAAAATGCCAGCAAGCAATCACAATCATAGTCATCATAGTCACTATGAAAATGTGGTACTTGGCCAGGGCATCATCGCCACACAGCAGCAGTTGCTGAACTTGGGAGGGCTTGTTTTGGCATGCTTGCCACACGCATACAACACACCGCAGCCAGCGGACTGAAGAAACCCCATGCTTCATGGGTGTGCCCATCATTTCTCCTTTCTTTCAACTGGGTGGTTGGCTTTTCTGTACCCACTGTAGTGGCGGCCCGACTTGCTCGGCGCCCCATGTCCCAGCGCCGCGCATTCGCCCGCGCCTCCTCCGGAGAGTGGAACAGCCCCAAATTCCGGAAGCGGCCGCCCACACGGATGTTCGCCTGCGCGACTGCGCACAAACATGTATGTCGATACCAGCCTAGCTCAACCTCTATCTAATTTCCGGAAATGTCCTCAAACTAAGCGCCCTTCCAGCACGTCAGATTCTTGTGGCAGGCTCTTTCTGTTGCCAGCTTGCTTCAAAATAAGGATTTCAACCCACTAGCTTCAGATCAAAGTGGCTCCCCCGATGCCGGGCCTTGCTATAAACTATCACGATGCGCGCACACAAAAGCAAACACGGCCTTTCTCATACATGCTTCCCTTACATGAGCCACTACGATGCTGATGCTTTTCGTGCCTGGCAAACACCACGCCTCATTTGCAAAACATATAATTGAAAACCTTTCCGGTACCTCAGATTGGTGTCAAGGCGCCCTGCCTGTTGCCAGGTTGCCTCAACGTAAGGATTCCAATGCGCTGGCTTGAAACGCGACCTCAAATTCAGCCCTTCCACCACGTCAGATTAGTATGGCAACCCTATAGGCGGCTCCAGAATGACACGCCACCGGTTGAACTCGCAAGCGTCGCAGTGCGAATGCAACGCGCAGGATTTGCAAGCGCGGGTTTCAGCGTCAGGGGCCAGTAGTTGAAGCGAGTCTGAATCCTTCCACTCCCAACCTTCTCCCTTCTCTCGCAAACAACTTTCTCCGCCACAACCTGTTTAATCTGAGGTTTGACCTCCTCCTGGGCGGGGGTGGGGGGGAGTTGCTAACATTTGTAGATATTAGTAGCAGCTCTGCTGTGGCCTCCTGCTTAGGCAAGCAGCTTGTGAGCCTCTTCACTTTTAGCTTGCAACGCCTCTGAAGTTGAGGTGAAGGGCAACACGATCTGCCATTTCAGGACTCGTCAAACTTCTAAACCGAGACTCATCTAAGTCACACAGGCGAGAAGCAGGCTTCCTCTTGTTGGCGGAAAGGCACATTCGTAGGTTGGCCCCCGAGGCAAAGTCGCTAGTGTTACACTTGACCAAAACGCTGACTTCTCAATCTGATCACGTCCAACAGTCAAGTTGACTGAAGGTGTTCAAAGGACAGCCATCGTTCTCAGCTTTAGCATCTTTCCACTGTGTGACATCTGAATTATCAAAAACAGACCCATGACATCTGAAAGGCACAGCTCATTCCACGCTCAAGGGAGACCTCTTTCAGCTCACCCGGCGGCCCGGCCGTGTAGCGCTGGTTCTCCGAGTCAAACGACACGCCCTGGGGCAACGCCTGCGGCGGAACTGGCAACGGGTCAGTCAAGAAATCTGATGAACGACCAACCGAGTGACCACTTATGCCCTGAACAAGGCTGATAGCAGCAAACAAGTTAGCGGAAGCAATGTGTGATCTATGCCTGAC